TGCGCCACCAGGGAGGGCCCCCTTTGCTTTTTTATTCTATATTTTGCCTTATATAAAGGACACCATTCAGTATTTGTCATTTTCCTTCTCACTTATTTGCATTAGCATTCTGCCCTCCAAGATATTTTCACAAACAGCTTTTCCTTTTCTTTTTTCTTTTTTTTTTTTAATAGCCGAGTAGTATTTTAATGTGTACATGTACTAGTACTTCCTAATCCACTCATGTGTCTTTGGCCACCTAGGTTGTTTCTATAGCCTGACTATTGTAAATAATGCTGCAATGAATAGGTGTGCGTATATTCCTTCAAATTACTGTTTTTGTATTCTTCAGTAGATACCTAAGAGTGGAATTTTTGGGGCATCTGGCATATCCATTTTTAATATTTTGAGAAAATTCCATATCGCTTTCCATAGGACATGAACGAGTCTACAATCCCACCAAGAGTGTAAGAGGACTCTTTTTCTTCACATCCTCAATAACACTTGTTGTTACTGGTCTTTTTGATATGGGACATGTGAAGAAAGCATGAGGTTATGCCTCACTGTGATTTTGATAGATGATGAACATAATTTTCACATGCCTGTTGGCCATGTGTACGTCTTCAAAGCAGTGTCTATTTAGTTCTTTTATTTGCAACTTTGCCCAAGAATACAGGTGCAAAATAATTGCTCTTCATTGCAGTGTAGCTACAATAAATCAATGTTAGAAAATGGGGCACGATAATATAATTGTACTTTATTTAAAAAGGTTTTAGGTGGGGCCCTCCTTGGTGATGCAGCACGTTAAAGCACAGCACTATGAAGCTAGATGCAGCCACTTCAGCAAGAATTTGATCCCTGGCCAAGGAGCTGACCCACATGACTCAGCTGACCTTCCATTCTCTCCTGTTGCTACCTCAGCAGTGCACTCTGTGGATCTACCTGTTCTGCTCCCCACTCTATCTCTAGTGAATCCTCTCAGCACCCTTGAACTTCTGGCTTGTACCCCAGTTCTGCATGCATAAGCAATCTTCAAAAAAATAAAATGTTTGAATTTAAATATGTAACTTTTTCTATATAATTAATACCACAGGGAATCTAAGTTGGAAAGTAATGCAATGAAAAAAGTACTGCAATTTTTAGAACACCTACTATGTACCAGCAACTACACTAGGTAGCATTATAAATGTCAACTGATTTCAAGCAAGGTTTTACCCCCTTGTACAAGATAAGAAATAAACAGAATAGTTATAAAAAAAGAGCTGGAATCTGAACCCAGGCTCTGATATTCTAGGTCAAGTCGTTCTACCCTTTTTTAAAAAATAATGTTTATTTTTACATCATTTTGTGCATGTTTTCATCTCAGTTGTAATTTCCGTGGGCTTCCCATCACCAAATCACTCGTGTGCCATCACCATAGTCCAGTGCATTTCCCTCTCCCCACTGTTTTTGATTCCATTCCCCACTCCACCCCCATAAAATGTCTCTGGTGTTCATTATTATTGTTACTTTCTCGCCTGGTCCGTTATACTCCTGTTATGAGTGAAACCATCCGGTATTTTTCCTTTTCTTTCTGACTTATTTCGCTAAGCATGATCCCTTCCAGCTCCATCCATGTTGCTGTAAAAGGTCGCTATGTTTTTTTAAGTGATTTTTATTTATTTATGTATACAAGAATGAGGTGCAGGCCAAAGATGTGGGGTAAGTGGGTTGAGAGGATTCAACAGACATTGAAGAGCAGAACAGGTCAGTCTACTGAAATGCACTGTTGAGGGGAGCAGCGGGTGACACAAGAGAGTTTTGCCATGCCATGTGGGTCACCTCCCTGCCTGGGGATGGAACTTGTGTCTCAGTAGCTGGCAACAGCTTGGTAGTGATGAAATTTTAACCTCTGTACCACCAGGGAGACACTACCTGTGTATTAATCACAATAGATGGAAAATTCCAATGATCACTGGAAACAGAACCGTTAAGCAAAGAGTCCTAGATATTTAAATCTAGGGAAAATCCCAATAACAGAATTAAGTAAACTTTGGTTATTTTGTGATATATTCCATTTTATAGTTTTTTTTTTAAAGATTTATTTATTTGTGCATACAGAACTAGGGTACAGACCAGAGGTGCAGGGGTAGTGAGAGGATTCACCAGAGACAGAATGGGGAGCAGAACAGGCAGATCGACGAAGCACACTGCTGAGGGGAGAAGCGGGCGGGTCAGGAGAGGTCTGCCACACCATGTGGTCACCTCTGGGGCAGGTGGGAATCGAACTCATGCGGAAGTGGCTTTAGCTTCTCAGTGCTGTGCTTTAACCAGCTGCACCACCAGGGAGGGACACCATTTTATAGTTTTCAACATCATTAATCAATTCCTTTGAAGCATCATAACAACATCCTCCAGGTTGCAAATCTTTGGCTTATTATCTAAGTAAGTAAAACCTCAATAGGGAGATGATTCATCCAATCATCAGAATTGAAGTCAAAGAGTTTCTGAAACAAGGATGCTGATAATAGAGAAAGAATCTCAGTACTCATGTGAATTTAATACAATTTTCCACTTTAGATTTCTACAGTATGGCCAAAAAGAGGAGGTATTATTTGAGAGAATGAAAATATGTTTAGTTGGCAGTTTAAAGCGAACATGAACTTGATTTAAATTGTTTGTGTTTCCTCCACCCCATGGCATTGCATTGTAATCAAAGAGATTTATTACAAATGACGGCAATTGTGAAGTTGATAACTAAGTTGAAAAATTCCTGAAATCGTTTTCTTCATGAATGGAACAAAGAATTTGAGAGACATAGTGTAAAGACTAATTAGACCCTCAAAGAAGTAATTTAATGGGCATTCCTCCATGA